TTATGCCCTTATGACTGGATAGGTCTGTATTCCCTGTAATCATAGATAGATCTGTGCTTTTGTGGCTGGATAGTTCTGTGGTCTCTTTAGTCACTGTAGTATCGGATTGGTCTGTGGCCTTGTGACTGGATAGATCTGTTGTCTCTCAAGTCGGTCTTGGATAGGTTTGTACTTTTATGGTTGGATAGTTCTGTGGTTTACTGTAACCTGGATTATTTTGAATGGGAGGAAGTGTGAAGAATTTCAATGTGACAGACAGTTCATGTTCCTGAACCGTTGGCAAAGAGTTCCAAGTTATACTGTCTTTACAAAAAGACCGTGGTAACTTTGTTTATTCGCCCAAGTCAGAGTGTGCTGTCAGGCTTCATATTTGTTGAATGTTCTGAATTATATCATGACGCGGGTAGGCACAGCTGAGCCAGTGTCGGTGTTCTCCACAGCCTGAAATTAAAACAGGATGGCATATAATGCAAGTGCGGATCGTGAAGCCATTACAGCGTGGACATTTTGGATTCTTGACGCTCTTAGGTGCAATCTGAGGTTATTTCCTGAGCACTTTCTTTAGACTCCTTGAATTAAATTTGCTCGTGTTGAAATGAAGGCCAGATTATTATTGGGAGATCATCAATTAGTTCATTTTTTCTCTGGGGCTTTTCCTTTTTTGACTGATTGGAACTTGCCATCGAGCGGGTGGTTAATTACATGTACCTGATCTTACCTCTATGCGAGTGTATATGTACGTGGGCGCAGCCCGAGTGGATGATGTTTGTCATGTACAGTCGCTTCCCTAATTCCGGATCTCAAATATAACTGCGTGGTCAGATTCCAGCAACAAAATCTAATAATTCCGGTGAAATATGGTCAGTCTTCCACGTTGTGTATTGGAAAAACCTCAAAATTACATTCAAAATCTGAGGTTTTATTCTGGACTTACGGGATCATAAAAAATGACAGCACTTCTAGTTCTGAGTCGGTTTAACCGGATCCAAATAGCGACAGTTTTTTTTCTTGTATTAAAAGTCAGTCAGAGCCATTGTAGCAAGCTAATTCTAATTAAAAATTTCACAATTTCGAGAAAATTATTTCATAAATAACAATTTCAGTGAAGTAACAAGTGAAACTTGTGTAAGTTTTGACTCGAGTTTTTCAGCAGTACTGCGAGTAATGAGCAACTATCCCCCCCGTGATGCATGACGAACCCATCACTCATGGTGTAATCTACAACGGGGAAAAATGTGCATTTAGTTTTTGGCCAATGTACAAGAAAAGGGAAACTCCAAAAGTCATTTTGATCAAACATACATTAGATGCAGATGTTTATGGGAATGCTAAGTATGAAACAAGTATTTGGATCACACGAACAGAATGACTTACTCACCGGAAATCTTTTTGACGATTTTTGGGCGCTCGTGATTTTTGACTAACTTTTCAAAAATGTCGAAGATCGAGATGGAAATCTAGCTGACAAAAATTTTTCAAGATGTATTCTGAAACCAAAATTTTGTACAAGAACCTTACATATTTCACCTGAACTTGTTTGAGAATGAAGAACGCATAAGAAGTAGTTCTAGAAGCAGAAGAAAAGAAGTTTTATTTCAAGCGATCTGGATCTAGAAAAATCCAGAACCACATGTAGGAAATTGGCTGTATTTTCTGAGGAAAAAACAACGCATTTGAAGTATTGGTTCTTGACGCTAGAACGTGAAAATGCTATGACCAGAAGATTGGAACCAGTCCAATTTTGTGCTGTGAAGATGGTGGAGAGTAGGGAAAATCCAATAGAAAAAATAGCAGGGCGGTGAGAATTTTGGCGGGGAGGCAAAACTTTAGCAGGGCGGTCTAACCTTTGGCAGGGTGGCCTGCCCTGCTAAAACCCCTCGTGGAGAACACTGAGTGTCCAAAAAGTCAAGAAGCTACTCTCAAAGCCTCAGTCGACCTTTATTGATGTGTTTTGTTTTTTCAGCATAATTCCTGCCCTGTATGTAGGAAAAGCCTGGATGGCCACAGTACTGAGAAAGATATCAACACTGACAGGAACGGTTCTAGTGATTCAACGCCCCCACTCTCCTAGGAAAGTGTGGATGTCGTAAAGGTAATAGTTGCGCTGTTGGTTCTTGGTGTGTTGTCACCTTTCGTCTCTCATTCCTAGATCTGAACCCCTACTAACTCGACATGTGTGTTTGGTTCGGAGGTTTCACAGTGCTTTATTGGTTTGATCAAGGAGCGTAATCAGAGAAAAAACCCTTTGGTAAGATTTCGGTATAGACAACACTTTACACTGTACGAGCTGGAAGCCTCCTCATTGATGCTTATGATATTTCCTGCCGCAGCTGTGTTATTCAAATGTGGTCTCTACTTCTCTCTCCATGTCACAGGTTGCACAGCAAAGAGTGCAGCCTATTTTTCTCCTGCGAACCCTGAACCTTCCGTGGGCACTCACACAGCTTTCCTGCACCCATCCACGCTCCGGCCAGACCACAACCCTTTAACCGGTAAATAAAAGTTCCAGCTCTCAGTTCAAGCAAGGTACCTCTGGGTGTCTCCAACTTTGACATGCTGGAATTTCCTCCCCTAGAATGTTTTCTTTCAAACTTCTGAGAGCCCCATCTTTTGCCCATACTTCGTATCGGTGTCCAATGCATGCAACTGGCTACCTTGGAGTAGCTCATACCTAACCTAACATGTCTTGATGTCAGGAAGTTAACTCAGTGTAGTGATACTTCATGGCATCCTGAACCATGTTCATAGTCCCCCAACAAGCCACTGCGTTATCCCAACTCCGCGTGTACACCCCAAGATTGGGCAATTTCAACATAGGGATTAACAGTTTGATGTACGCATGCAAATTCGTAGAGGTGTCAATAAAATTAATGTGAAATTCTTGTTCTGTCTCAGCTTTAAGAACAAATTTCAAAGAGCTTTGGTTTAACCTCATTTCACGGTATTTTGTGTGCAGAAAAAAGGTGTTGCCAAAATTTATATCATTTGTTCATCCCCAAGTCAGAATTGATAATTCTTGATAAGTACGTGCACAGTAGGAAAACCACAGGTGCTTAATTAACCATGGAGGGAAGGTCCCCTCACAGCCAAGAGTTCAAGAATTGTGGGATTGGGAAAACAGGGAAACTTAGAGTTCGCCGGCGCCATTGAATATGGGACTGCCTCCCAAATATGTATGAAATGTTATTAAAATGCCACATGCACAGATTTGTGAACTTATTGCTTTTTAGCAAACCTCTGCAGAACCACTTAAAAGTTCTGTTTGGATAGTGCTTTCTATCACTCCACTGATCTCATAGCACTTTACAATTAGAATTCAGTACACCATTAACAGAGAAATCCGAATTCCAAATTCTACACTTTATCAACCTTTCTAGGGTTGTATTTAAAGGGTGTTTCCAATGTCAGTAAACTTTCTTGAATATTGTAAATTACTTTTGGGTGAAATTACTGTAAATAGAAGTGTTTGAAAATTCCAGGGTGATCTGATTTTTTTAGCTGTCATAACATCAATGGCATGTCAGATGTTCAAATGTCAACATAAACAATGCTGGACTGTTATTCTCAGCAGTTACACTTGTGCGAGGATGGGACACATTTTTTTTTTGTAATTCACACTTACAGCAATACTATTTGAGTTTAGAGAGTAGTGATTGTTGGTTTGTTTCTGAGAGTGAACCAATCGCGCAGCTGTTTGCCGTATGCTTGCAGCCTGTACTACAAAGAGTTTGAAAATCAGTAGGAATAAAACATATCGAAGAAAAGGGTCAAGACAAAATGTACTAAGGTTACTCCCCTGAAGTAGTCACTAGTTCGTCTGAATGCCTTATTGTTGTAGCCTTTATCAACGCTGGTTTGCACCTGTGTTGTTGGCACCACATGCAAGTATTAATTGGGGGGGGGTCAGATACCTGAATTTCTGATAGCCTTGTTATTATGCCTGTAGGAGTTTATTTCCTGATGTCTTGTGGTCATTTGAATCACTTTTATATCTGACATGCCGTTCTGGTAAATTGTCCATTTTACCAGGAGAGGTAAGCCCAAAATGTTAACTACTCCCATTGGCATGTGTTCAGTGTACAGACAAACACGTGTGACACGTGTGAGAGCATAAACTGTAATGATCTTAACAACAAAAGCATTTATTTGATTGAATCAAACAAACGTCATCATAGTGGATATGGAAAGATTGGTTTGGGAAGAGCCAAGATCTCTCCTCTCCCCTACCCCACCTCTGCCTAGCTGAGAAAAGGTTCAACTAGCCCCTTGATGGTTAATTAAAAAAAAAGATAAAGAGGCCACTCCTCAGTGCATAGGAACAGCATGCTACACGTGGACCTTGCTCTAAAATGCAAAAACAGTTTGCAAGAAGTACACACCGTCAGATAACCCTGATTTAAAGTGGAAAATATGAGAAAGCCGTAATTCACATTAAAAAGCTGTAAGGACAATTCTGCACAAAACACAGTTTGGGAAAAGAAATAAGTTCAATAAAAGTTGCTTTCCATTTTGCTCTCTTCATTTTTTTGATGTTTTTTTTCTTTGTTTCATTTTTAATGTATGCAATCTTCTCTGGAGTCACTCTAGATGCACATGCAGACTGGTCGTTTTGAGGCATCGCTATCTCAGTTTCCATGGAGTTTAATGCCTCTTCATTGCCATGTAAATGAGTTCGCCCTGTGGAAACCAGTTATTGATGCATGAAGCATAATATGTCTTCATTTGGGCCTTGCTTAGTCTTGGTGCAATACGCTATTGTTTGTAGTGGATTGCAGTTCCTCACCAAAAGATGCATAAGGCGACGAAGTAATCCATTACAGATATTAGTGTCTGGCCTCAAGACTAGGCTCAAACCAGTAAATGGTTTGTACTTTAACGTCAAGCAAATATTTTCAGTCTTCATATCAAAGTATATTTGTATTCTTTTCATAAATTATAAAAAGTAATAATTTCTTAGCGATCAATCTGATGATATCTTTGGGTTGTTTTAAATTTTTTTTACTCTAAAAGCCATAGCACTATAACTACACAGATTATCTGCATCATTCCAAAGAATGGGGCTGTAACTTGAATGTAAAATGAGTTTGGTTTTGTGAAGGATGATTACAAGTGTGTACATTGTGAGACTCTTACAACACCTTTAAGTTATTGATTGATAGTTTACTCACAGGAATCGTCACAGTGCGTGCCCGTTTGAATAATTGAAACTTATCAGGACTTGAAATTTCAGAGGGACCTGCTCAGGTGAAACTGCTGTCTGTGAGAGGGAATGGAAGAATGTTCCTGAGCTGTGGTTTTGCAGTATTCCGCATGCTGGAGATAGATTAAGGGGTCATTGAACTCCTGACGACAGCAGAGGGCGTTCTGTTGCTCAGCAACCAAGTCATTCAAAAGACTTCTTATTTCTGGTATTCACATGCGCTGTTAATCTATGATGGTTTTTCCCTAATAACAGGAGTAAAGTAGAGGTTGATTTCGCCCACCATAGTCTATACCGGGGGGGGGGTGGGACCAGAAGTGAGAAACCTAATGCCCATAGCAAAGTGTGCTGTGACATTTGTGGATGGGCCAAGATCACATAGGAGTTCACATATCACAGGACACCAGTTTACATATATTAATGATATACATGTATGTTTAGGACCACTGCATGAAAGCAGCAGGTTAGTGCTCTGCATTGGCATGGAGTGTCCTTATTCTCACCACTTAGGGGTGCTTGTGAGGGGTCAGCAGATAGTTTATAATTGCGACAGCCTCAGGTAAGAAGCCATGTTGATTCCAGAGTCACCATGTGGGAAGTGATAAATAGTCTGACTTGGAGCTTTCACTTATCGGGTCACCTCGGAACACTAATTTTGCAGCCCATTTTCTGCTTTATTAGTGCAGCTTCCTTTCCCACCATTTTGGAAGCAAACTGGTATCGTATACCATGTCATACACGACCCCCTACCTAAGCCCTATAATGGTTGCGGCACAGGCAGCACTTGTTTTCTAAGTAAAAAATTCGTAGGGGAGAAATAAGGCTACGGTTTGTTACCTATCGGCGTAATTGCACTATTTCTTTCACGAGTGAAGAATGCTGAATAATAAGAAGATAAGTCTTAATACAATTTGTAAATAATAGTAACTTTTTTTAATTCAAATCAACACGTTCATCTCAATGTCTGTTCTTCAGCATGAACAAAAGCTAACAAAATTCGCAATCACTGGAAAACGAGACTCGGAATCTGGCATGCCCACAAAGGAGCCGAATTGATGACAATTTAATCTGAGGAAGTGGTGTAAGATTCACAGGAAGTAATTTGTACTTGCTCTTAATTCGTTAGATTTGTATGAGGATAGCAAAAGTTCAAAACGAACGTGTTGACGACGCTTTCATCTGCCTAGCGAACAGGCAAATTTAACCCTGAAATATAAACCTGAGCAGTCATGTCTGTTATGGCCTTTTTGTTGTGCGCATAAACAGGGCGTGGGTAATTATTCTTCGTTGCCATGCTTTTGTTTGGAGACGAACAATAATTAGTAGTTTATTTTTGCGATGAGATTGCTTTGTCTTGTTATTTGACTGAACATTCAAAATATTTTTAAAGATGCTAAAATGTAACTTAAATGCGGAATTCTTGCACCAATTAATGATATTGACTGGACTGTTGTTTTTAATATTCCAAATTAATATGGACAGTGTTGGCTACAGTTTGGTATCGTAAAACATGGTTGTATTGGGCTGTGACAGATTGGATCGCCTTATCAAAAGTCGACATTGCGAGACCTCGCATTGCAAAAAAACCCCCAAAAACAAAGAAACTTGTGCTGACAAGATTTACGAGTGTTAAAAATAATGTACAAATCTTCATCCTGACAAGAAAAGCTATACACTTGTCTTTTTATCTTTCCCAATCTGGGCTTCGTCTCTGTGTCGGCTTCAGGCTTTGGTCTCAAAAGTTGAGGCCTTTGAGTCTGCGCAGTTGCCAACCGTCGACAAAACGTGCTGTGTTGCTTGATATGCAAGGCTACAGACGCTAGCGAAGCCAAGATATGAAAAAAAAGGTGCCAGAATGACAAATGCACAAGGCAAGGTTCTCTGGTCTAGTTGACTTCAATCTTGTCATGAACCGCTTTGAATTTTGTCACCGGTGTTTGTTTTGCATGCTTTGGTGTCGCATAAACACCATGTTTTATATTTACTGATTGAGTAGTTTTAATATAGCAGCTCCGTGCATGAGCTACTCCTCTAAATCCAAGGTAAAAATGTTGATTGTCCCCGCCCCGAATATTTTTGAAGCTGCATTCTTCTTTATTTCCCGCGAATTCCATAGTTTCGTCAAAATCTGAACACCGTGTGATATTGGATGAAAGTTGTGCCTCTTACGTTATACAGATTCATTAAGACTGAACAGAACATGTTAGATTATTGGTAGAATACCTAATAAAATATAGTGTTTGAAACAGGGCCTCCTTTAAAAGGAAAAAGACTGATGATTTTTCTAACACGGGTGCTTCTCGTTTGCACTTTTAAGGTGCAGACGTGTATAGGTCGTGAGGTAAATTTTTGGTCCAAAATGTTTCGACTCCCTGTCATCTGACATATTTCCAGTAGTGATTAAAGTAATGCAAATTACCTGCCAAAGAAATCAAAATAGGTTGGATTCAATTTCAGTCATCTTTCCTTGTCAAAATACACAGTTCAGGTGTGACGGGGACTAAAAAAGCGTCTCACACTTCTGGATCCCGATTTTTTTATAGAATGACCTATTTATGTTAATTCTCAGATGTGTCAAAATTGCAAGAGGAGCAGACATTGCTGAACTTTCATGTATCGAGATTACCAAAGGCTCGCGACAGAAACTTGATTTGCCAATGTGTATCTTGTCTTTAAAACATGAAAACCTCTGTTCAAGAAACCTCGGCAAAGGATCGCTAATTTAATTAACTTCCAGCTGTGATTATAGTCGACGATTCTGACACACCACAATCGGTTCATGCATTTCATTACAAGTCGAGCTCATGTGAACTGGAAGCCAGCCGTTGTGAGTGTACAATGTGTGGAAGGAAATCTCAATTCCCCACACACAGCACTAATCTGGCATTTATGTCGGCAACAATGAATTCAAGACCAACTGAACTCATGATTTAGGCCAGTCTAGTGGAGTTATGCCGCTGTTCCTATCCTGTGCAGGTTCATGTGTCTTCTTCCTGTCCCAAATGATAGTCTGATAGCCGCGCTTTACATTGAAGTAATGCACATTAAATAGCCATGCAAGATTACACAGTAGCCGTACATTCAAACATGTAGTTTCTTCGGTTTTTAGCGACAGTTCTCTGCTGTACATTATTTTCTTGAGTTACGTAATTTTCTTTTGACTGGAAAGGGCAAAGTGTGGAAGTGATTTGCTTAATCAATAATTTGTAAATTGAATGTTCTTTTAAAATAAAAACGGAATCCAGGAACATTAGCTAATTGTACCAAGATCTCTCGTTAGTATGTTTGTGTCCATTATTATATCATAAAAATTCCCAAATCTATTTTTGCACCATTGGGTAAATTTGAATACAATTCACACGGGCACAAAGTCCTTTCTATGAGCCTCAGCCACAACCACAAAAACTCAAACAAATTGCCCATTTTTTGGCTCCGGTGTACCGGCTCTCACAATAGTGTTTGTGTTTTCAAGAGCTCATTTAGTGGACTCAATATTCTTATAGGTCGGTTCTCGCCAGTAAAAAAAAATCAAAAGATTTGTGGGAACCTTTCTTATATTTTGGGGATCTTTGAATGCTCATAGTTCCAGAGAACCGTCTTTGTTAGTCCGTTTCTAAAGAAGGGGATTCCCGATGCGTCATCGTCCCCCAAACAAGCGGTTCCTTTGTTGGTCAACTGACCCACCAAATTACGTTCGCTTCTTGAATCTGAATCGAGTAATGCTGGTCTGATAACGAGCACAGTGTAATGAACTTACAGATTAGTATTCTTTCAAAATGAACTCAAAGTTTTAATAATATTATTATTTTATTGAAATCCGACCTGAATGCCATTGTGCATTTGATTTTTTATAACGAAACAACTGTTCCGACCCGACCGCTTTCAGCTTCTTTTTATTATTATTTTATTCGGCATCACAAAAAATACACATCACAATACAGAACAACACAATGAAACCACAGTACAATGGGACAAACTAGTGGCACATGCCAGGAGAAAAAAAAAGTCTACTTAAAAACTATGACCCGAAGGCCTCTTACTCCAATGCCACTAGTAGTGAAAAGAAATAAAAATACTAAAATATGTATGTAGGTTATGTATGTATATATGTATAGATTTATAAAAATTCGTTTAACAGATACCCTTGGTACCATTAAAATTGCATTTGAATTAAACACAATGACACAAAGATAAAAAGTTGGAGCAATTGATAATACACACATTGTGTATTCTAAAGACTGGACTCATTTTTCAAGTGCCTATCGTGTTGAGCGTGTGTATATTATTAGTCACGAGTAAGGCATGTGGTTTATTGTCCAATAACCAACCGATCTTGTACAGTCAACCCACATCACTATACAATGCGGCAGTTGTGTGCGGCCGGTAACAGTAATTTTGTCGGCGGGCCATCGGCAGACAGTCACTCACTCGTGCTGTGTATGCATATTCGACGTGAAACAACTCATTCAGGTGTTCGTTCCGTGGCTCGCTGGTAATGCGGTGAAACTGGTAACGCCCTTGCCCATAGTGCCAGCATCCAACAAACCACCTACTACACATGTGTATGTACCGCGTCACAGGCCAGCGTTTTTGGACTGTGTGTCATTCGCACGCTTGCAGAACACCCCCGAACCCAAAGCATCTCGCTCCCCGCTGTTCTGTCTGCCGTTTGTCACTAGTAGTAATAAACTGCTGGCAGGGGCAGCTAAGGTTGAGGGTCGCTCGATCGGGCGCCTATGCGGGGAATGATTCAGTAAACACAGCCAACTGTTTTGGAGTATTTTAAGCATGGAACGGTGCGAGTGGAACACGAGAATCATTAGTCTGCGGAATACACTGCTCTGTTGGTGCGCACTAGTTATCGTTGCACACAACAAAGGTAAGCAAAAATTATCTTTTTTTTATTTTTATAATATGCCGTGAATTGAAAGTCATTAATCCACGCTAGTTGTTAATTAATCGTGACCTTTGTAAGCGCTGAATAGAAGTGACATTATACACCCTTGGTTTAGGGTTGATAGATATGCGATACATTTATGCATAACGCGCAGCTAGGGGTTGTTAGCAGATGCAAGTCGTTGCCATGGCGACATATGCGTCTTGAGTGCAGGGAATTCTGACTATATAAAACAGGACTGGATAACTCAGCATGTCAGGCGGCGGAAGGAGATTTCAGTATCTCTTATTTTTACTAAGCACACTGGAAATGTATCAAAGACTACCAAACAGACACAGAAGTGTATCCCACACACAGTACATACAAAAACATGCGCAGTATGGAAAGCATAATTATGCCTCCTTTCCCGTATAATCAACATAAAGCCGGGTCACTCCATGGACTTAGCAGGTCTTGTGTTTATTGAAGTGACTTGTGAATTTGTGATTATGGGCGTCGCCGCGATTTTTGCTGTGGACCCCTTTTTTCCGGGGAAGCACTTATATCAGCTAAAGACAGATAAACAACAGTGGGAAGGGGCCAATTTTTGAATTATTTTTCGTTTAGTAAATCAGTGGTTTTCATCCCCTTTCACTTTTTTTTTTTTCATTTCTTTGGCTTCCCCATTTTCCCTCCTTATTTTTCTTAAACTAAGTTTGTGAATCCAATAACCATTATAGACAAACGCATGCATGGTTAACCGGCAAAGAAAACAATATTGTCTGAGAAGACAATGCCCGTGTGTTTTCAGCCGACCGTTCACAGTTGATGTGTTAAGGCATTAAACCTGTTTTACACTCTCGAGATATTTTTCCAGATTTATCATAATTATTTTCTGTTAATCAAAACTCACATCAAACTTCCCCTTAGACAACCGTGCATGTAAGCTATTAATGTAAACGGGATTTGAATACATGAGTGGTGACATATTGTATTTCGAATAACCAGCACTGTCTTCAAGTTCACCCGTATTCGGTGTCATTACCTGCCTTAATTTCAAATCGACTTTATTTTAAATTTATTTTTTATTGTCGACCTCCCCGAAGGAAAACGAGTAGAGTTCTCAACTAATGATAAGTCTCCATTCGAAGACGGGCCGGGGGCCCGTAGCGATACCACGCCACGCCCATTTGCTGACGGCTTGTTAATTTAATAACGATCATTCCTGATCGGGTGTCTTCTATTTGCAGAGTGCGGAAATGCTGGGATGCCGCAGATTAGGGTATCATTAGGACCGGTTAGTAACAGAGACAGATTGTGGCATTTCCCCCGGTTTTGGTTTTTGGGGGAGTAATTTAAAACGTTGGCTTGGGAGCACTGAACTTAGACGTAATTCAAGCCACGTTTACATTCATTATTTCCAAGGTTAAAACAGTCAAAGACCAATTTTTCCGCAGTCTGGTATAGAATGGCTAATATTATAGTGTTTTGATCATTGTGTTGTTAATGCACAGACTGGTAATCAAGGACCTAACCTCAGCAATGTGTAATTGGGGAAGATTCAAATTTGAATTTGTTTGAATTTGCTGACAGTTGTACACGGCATAACTATAGCTCGCTCACTTCAAAAATACATTCAAAACCCCCCTGAAAGGGAAGCAAATGCAGTTTAGTGTAGAGGGTTTATATTGAGGTCAAAAGAATAGAGTGGAGAAAACACCTGTTGTCACGTGTCTCCCTTCTCCATGCACGTCAGCCTTACGAGTCATACAGTTGTCACTGTGTACATCACCACCTGCATGGGGTTATGAGTGGTACGGTGCCTCCTTCTGCAAACCGGAAGCTAGCATTTCTCTAGCTTGTTTAATGGCTGAAAATCCCTCCAGGTCACCTTTCACCTTTTTATGTTTAACTACTTTATGAAGAAGCCATTACAACCAAACAGGCTAAGCACACGAACACAAAACGCAAAAAACGAGAGGGATGAAAAATGTTGGATAAATGAATGCATAAAACAACTTTTCTATTTCGTTCCCAAATTAGGAGAAAACCAACTTATTGTTCAGAGAACTCATGACGCACAGACGCACTCATGTATACATGTATTATGGCTTTATTCACTAAAGTACGAGGAGGTATGCAAGCTGCCGTGCCCGCACCCCACGCTGGGCCGAGAGCTCTATGGGTAGACACGGCATTGTTTGGACTGCGAGTGTGAAGGTCCCGGTGATGCCCTTCATTCATAGCACAATACTAGGTTGTCCGCGACCCACTCAAATCATCCCCCACGTCTGGGTGACTAAATGTCGGTTTATTTCCGGGAGTGGTGGGGTGTCGAGTGAGTGAAGAGTTGGATGGATGTATAATTGGGGGGGGTCACAGGATAAGTCTGTATTCGCAGCTTATGAACAATTCCCGAGTAGAGGACATAAAATTTCCAGTCAAACCACAGCCGGTGTTGAAGAAGACGGATTCAGTGAAAAAAGAAACAGAATAGAGAAGGAAATACCGCTAATTTATATGAGTCGGATCACGGAGGGCGCACCCAGGGGGAGTGTCCAAGCTAATGAGGAGAGGGACACCCAATTTTCTTTCTTTTTTGGGGGGTAGTATTTTAGACTGCAATCATGTATACGTACTTGCACAACAAAGCCCGATCTCTCATAACTAAAAGAGTGATATTTTACTGGCATTCCTCCAAGTCAAGCAAGGGACGAGATGAATTCGACTAAACTTTGAAACATCCAGACTCAACGATCTCTCCTGAAGCTTTCCAACCCCATCACTAAAATAGGATTAAAAAGTTAAATTATAATAAATTTATTTTTTTTCTCGCTGCGGATTTCAGTGAATGAGTCTCTTCAGTAAGTACAGATCAAGGAAGCATCCATTGCGAAAGACTGGCAACGGACTCGTATGCCCTTTATCTACAGAAGTGGAATATCCGCAACTCCAAAACATTTCCCCTGTATTTAACTTTTACGTGAGATGTTATGAATAATGATCGGTGTAACTAACACTTGATGTTCCGTTATGGAGCCCTCGTGTTTCCGTCCTCATGTCTTGTTGAGGTGATCCATCTTCATTTTATAGTCCTGCTTATGGGAAACTGTCGGTAATTCAATTACGTTACCGTAATGTCTTTACAAATGCAGTTGTCCTGTTCTGAACTCGGCGGATATGACGAAGCATTTAGTTCGCCGAATGCCAGCCAAACTTTTGAAGCTAGTAATGCATATTTACCACAAAATGTTATGTTGCAAGCAATGGTAATGTCGGCGTCACTGTTTTAACTTCTTTTTGAGTACGACTATTTTAGAGTGCACGTATACAACGTGGTATTCCAGCGGAAGCAACACTTATCTGTGACATCCACAGGCAGTGAAATCTTTTGGAAACTGGTCTTTAATCATTTGTATCTTGAATATTCTGTCGTCCACATTTTCAACCAATTTAATTTAAATGACCCGCTTATAGAATTATAGATAAAGAACAATTCATAGGCCAAGAACTCAACATGCGTAGTTGTGGCAGCTAGTAATTATCATCATCGTATTCGATGACGACTTCATTCGAATCATTTCTCTCCATGTTTCTCTCTGCTTGCTCAGCGACATGCCAGCTGGTAAGCGGGACGTCCTTTGTCCTTAAGGTTACGTTTGACGCCGTCTTTAAATCTGAGTGAACCGTAAGCCTTCCAATACCACGCACGCCAAACCTCATTTGGGAGCTAGTAGTCTGGAGTTTTCCTCCCTGTTCACATGACCCGTCCATTTAAGATTTCTTGGGATGAAAATACCAGACATACTCGGTAGATTGGCGCTCTTTAGGATGATCTTTTTCGGTATATGCTACAGTTTGTGATCCACTCTGTGAAAATGAGTGGCCAGAGCCACTTTTTCAGTTTTCATTTGTATTTGAAAGAACAAATTGAGTTTTTAAATTTGATGTATAACTCAGTTTGGCATCCTGACGAAAGTGGATACTCCATGGTGAAAAATGCCGTGGGTTCCTATTGATTTACACTGTGCAAAATCATTCTAAAGGACTTTTTACTCAAAAAAGGCTCTGGCGACTTGAGACTCATTTTCACAGAGTGGGTCACATTTGATGTTCATTGTTTGGCGAATCGCAAAACAATAATTTCCCCAGTGACTACGATTTCTTATTTTGACTTACAAATTGTGCCCCTTGAACTCGCTCTAATGATGGTCAGGTTCACAGAGCAGTTGTAATACCCCAACTCCCCGCACTTCAAAAAGTTGCTGGGCGGCGGCACATGCGCTGAAAGGGGAAGGGCCGCCGCACATTTCAAACCGGTTCTTTGCTGGTTGTCAAATGGTCACATTCACGGTCTCACGCAGAGCCTGGCCGTGAATTCCGAACATCGATGCTGTCTGTCAAATTCTTTGTCATTCTTCGTGGCACTGGCAAGCATTGTAACCTACATGTACGAATGCCTTTTTCGTTTTACTTGTCTATCAGGGGTCAATGGACAAGACTGCCTGTTTCGAGCTGACCTTTGTGATTGGTCAAACCATGGGGATGTGGACTGGGTGCAGAGTTCGGAGTTTGCTACGACGGGAACAGGTAGGCTTGTCGACGTCCATTATCATTATGGCAGTTTTTTTGGGGGGGGGGGTTCGTTTTATCACCCAGCCATTCTTTGATATGCGTCGAGATGAATCATTGTACCCACACACTACGCTACGGAGTCGATTATTAAGACAAAAATTTTCCTAGTACAGAGTTTATTCCATGCAAACATATGTTCCTTTTTACGCTTCAGACATATTTTGTCAATATGCATATCTCGGTGAAAAAAATCAGTATTAGCAATAGTACATCTACGCTTCCACGGCTTCGAACTGATAAGCATGATATTTCTAAATTCACTGGAAAAATCAAACCTTGGGAAGGTTGGAAAACAATTTTAGCCCAGTAACTCAGATTTTAATATTGCTCTAGTCCTTTTTGTATTGCCAGGGTTAAAACTTGTGCCACCTCAAACTCGTTCTAATTATGGCCAGCTGTTATGCTCACAAACATTAAATACAGACCTTAGTTTTCACCGCAGAAGCTCTAAATCCGTGACCACAATACAGCTTAAAAAATTTCCCACAGCGGTTAATGAAGGGCGTGCCTTCGATTGCACGTGTCAAAGGCGCTGGTGGGTAACCCAACGTATTAATATCGAACCGTGAGTCATCCATACCACTCCATATTCACTTTTAGAGAATAGTACATGTATTTGGTTAACATACACAGTTGTATTTAATAGACACCGTTCCTCATACGAAATGAGTGTGTACGCGTGGTATTATTAACAGTCCACCTGCCTTTTAAAAGGCGCAATATGCTGACAAATTTTGTTGAATGTATTTTGCAGACGTAGTTCTTGTTATTAGAGTGTTTAATATCCTGACAGTATTTGGAACAGGGAACAGGTTTAACTATTGCATCGCAAAGAGGAACATAACGAAAAATTTCTAACATTAGAAGTGCTGGAAAATACATGGAAATCAAAACTGGTTATTAACCCTAACCCTCCTCAATCCTACACCTGTTGGAGGACTGAGGAGTGTTAGGGTTAAAGCGGGAATTGTAAAGTGTGTATGTACTTGAAGTATGAATTACATGGAAAAGGTTAATGATTAATGGACATCTTTGTTATCAACCACAATTAAACGGCAAACGAAACTTACACAAGCACTCCCCAACAGTTGCAAGATAAAGTCTTTGTCGCACACACTGCACATTCCAAACTGCAAGTGTCATGGTTCATAGTCCAAGAGCATCAAATTCTGGATCGTATTCGCATAAAACTATGCAGTATTGACCGTTCCAAATGGTCGGCCACTCTTTGGAGCGGGATCATCGATCGATTATTTGGGGGTTAGGTCCCTTTTAGACAGTTTTCTTACATCTAGAAATGGAGTAGAATAATGGAATGAGGGAGTGGATAAGTGCTGTTCAGAAGGGAAACACTTAAGCTTAGATCCCATTGTCCATTTTTCGGACTTCATTAGAGAAACGGGAAGCGTTAAGGGAAAAGGTTTTTTTAAAAAATTATTTTGCAGGGAAGGACGGTATAGGCCTTGAGACCGGGGGCTAATGGGAGCTTTCGCATCAACTGTAGAAACTCCAAATTGCTAACATGAAACTGAAACAGGAATCAAGTCGTGCCGATGGTTACAAAGGCAACACATGGATGGGATTTTTTTTAATGATGGAAAAAGTGGAATTCATGGTGAAGCGGCGCTAATGTTGTTTCACCAGGACCCACTATCCATAACCTAGAGCTTTATGCACCTCACTTTTTTGTTCACAGCGCACTGTGCTCAGGTACCGATCAG